GTGTTTGTTCAGTGTGGCTGGAGATATGCATATGTCATGGTTACCTTCTTTTGAGTAAATACTGACTGTGTTTATATTCATGAGACACAGGCAAGCTTGCTGATTTACAGCTGACGACGTGGTTGTGGCAACCTGGAGCTCAGCACAACCTACAACAGCTGCTTGAGAAGCCAGACAGATGTTCACAGTATTGTCCCCTGTCAACTTCCGTGCCACACGGCAAGCGTTACGGAGGCTGGAGGAGACTGTAATAAACGTTTTCTGAATGTGCACTTTCCCTTCCAACTGCCAGTGAATGAGCCAGTAACGAGGCAGAAGGGTTGCTCTTTGATAGGGAACTTCAGTTCCCCGTGCACAATAAGGTGGTCAAATATACTTACAATAAAATGCCAAGCACTGGCATGCATATACGCAAACAAACATACAAAAAGAAAATGCTGCATGCAGCCTTTTCCTTTCAAACACTTTCATATTAGTTGATGGTTTTCCTTTTACAAGACAGGTACAGGCCATAACGTGCTAGCTCTTTTCTGTACATACACTCCTTAGAGGTGCTTCTAAAGTTCAGGAAATTTGGATGAAGACTGGGAGATCTAGTATATAGATGCAGAGCAGGAGGCCTTACATGCTGTTCAAAATGAAGTAGTTGTTGGTGTGAGATATGAGAGGCTGAAAGACACAATTACTTTCCTCCATCTTAGACTTGCCCCAGACTAGAGCTGAAGCATTAAGTACAAGGAAGCTGTCAGGTACCTGTAATCCTTTTACCAGCAAGCGTGTCTTATTAGCAATTTATGCATATGTTGCTAATAATGTTCTGAAGCTTTCATGAAGTGGCTGTTACGTCTTGTCTGAGTTGACGGTGCCTAGATGCAGTGACCTTGCTGATCCCTTTTAGTTTTCTAAGTGTGTGCTGTACTCCATGGTAAATGAGTGAGAACTCTCCGGTTCTCACTAGTGTTTTTGGCACGGCCTCATCTCATTGTGCTGTCTCTAGAGCAGGCTTTTCAGAATGGCACTGCCACAGTTCTTCAGCAAGACCTGGTCTGTACTCCCTTGAAACAGATAATACAACAACAAAATCATATGAATAAAACATAGCAGAGCCCGCTTGCTTCTGCAAAGTGAATTGTTCAGCGAGTTTTGCTTTGGATGTTGTTGGCGGTGCTGGAGATGAGCTGGAATTAGGCATTTTTAACACCAGTGTCTGTGCTTGTGTGCCAGGGGGAATTTTGGCCGCTTTGTTGCTGTCAGCATGGCTCCCCTGTCATTGGGAGCCGTGGGGAATTCTGACAGTGTAAAAAAGCCCGGGTGTTTTCCACCATGCTGCAATGCCTGTGCAGGAGCCGGGTCTAGGTGACAAGACAGTGTGGTGAGACAGTGTGATGGCGAGAAAGCCTACGTCCTTCTTGTGGTCTCAGTTGTTGCTACCCACCGTGAGACTGAAAGGAGGTGATTTTCCAACACAAGGCAAGTGCAGACACATGGCTCATTACAGAAGGCAAAAAGGGGTGAAGAGAAGAGATGAAGAAGAAGTTAAAAAGGAGAAACGATACTAGTCTGCGTGACAGTCGGGGCAGGGTATTGAGTTCATTGCTCTGGCCTGTTAAATGCGATGCAAAATACTGTTTTCCCATAAGTGAAGAAAATAGGTCTGTCATGTGATTGTATGCACAGAGAAAGGCTAGCATTAAATGTGTGTGAAGGCTGCAGCCCTGTGTCTGTATTTGGCTGGGGAAAAAAGTAACCCTTTTTTTCTTGTTGCTGGTTTTACTTGGCTGTAAATCACTACGTGGTCACTTGATGGGCAGGCTAATGTGTACCACTCGGTTTTAACATTATGCTGCTCGGTGCTGGGCAAGGCGTCGGAGCCAGGCGTTGAGCGCCGGAGCCATCCATCCCTGGGTGCCTATGCAGGCCCCGGGGCTTCCCGGCCCTCGCCTTGGTTTTGGGTTCTGGCGGGTCCCCGGCGCCCGGTCAGGCTTCTCCTCTGCACAGAGATCTCCAGGCGTGAAGGGAGCTGGGGCCGGTGACGTGGAGCCCCGCGCCGTCGTTGGACTCAGAAGCGCC